CCAGTCAATCCTTTTTTTTCTTTGCAGCACTGCGATTTGAACTCATGGCAACAGGTGCTCTTACTGCTTGAGCCTCTCTACCAGCCCTTTTTTGCCATGGATTTTTTTGAGATACGGTCTTAAGAACTATTTGTCTGGGCTGGCTCTGAACTGTGATCCTCCTGATCTCTGCCTCCTGAAGCTAGGATTACAGAGTGAGGCACCAGTCTCCCAATCAATTCCTTTTAACTTTATTACTCCAGCCCCTCTGACCTGGAGGAGGTCTCCTTGCTGTCTCCCAGTCTCAGCTGCCCTTCCCCTTATATCTGTCCCTTGGGCTCTCTAATCAAACCAGTCTGGCCAGATCTCCTCGGCCCTCAGTTCTTTTGTGGCTCCCCACTGCCCTCAGGGTAAACTTAAGGCATTGTGTCAGCACAGGAGGTCCTCTGGACTGCAGCTCCACCATCTTCCTACAGCAGCAGCAGTCGTGGGCAGCTGTCCTGTGCATGGCTGCCGGATCACTGGTTATCAGAAGAGTGAATGAGCCCATTGCCCCCCAACTCCAGCTACTGCCCTGCAGGGGGTCAACATCCAGGCAAACTGGTCCCAGCTTCAGCTCAGTGCCCCACTTACAAATGTGGGCACAAGACACTTGATCACTGGACTCGATTCTGGAGGTTCTGCATGTTCTGTGCAGGCCCTATCCCAACAGGAAGGAGATGGCAGCCCAGTGCTATACCCACCATTCTTTGCAGGCAAGGGGAAGCCCCGGTCTTCTTTGTCAGCCCTCATTTCACTGGACCTCCAGAACATGGGCTCAAATATCCTTATTGTCAGACCATCCTACTGCAGAGTGAGAGAACATGCAGGAGTGGGGGAGGAGATGTGATGAGACAATTCACCCCTGTACAAAGCTATGCACATGTCAAGTGCTCAGTCAACTCTCCTTTATTCTTTTCTTTCTTTGTTTTGTTGGTGCTGGGGATTGAACTCACAGCCTGTTATGTGCTAAGCAGGTGATCTACCACTGAGCCCAGTCCCCCAGTTCTCTCCTATATTTACACTACCTATGGGCACTGTTTTGTGGGCCCTGATCTCTTGCTGCATCCTAACCTTTCAGGAAGAGACCCCATAGCCCAGCCCCAAATGCCATCACCAATCTGACCTGAAGAAAGATGCTGCTACCACACAAACCGTCACTCACCACACCAGAGTCCTCAGCATCCATAGCCTCTGACCTCAGCCTGTGTTTACACTTAGCAATCTTAGCAGTGGAGAAAAAAACAGCCAGGCTGACAGGAATCCATATTCCATCCTAGCAGGACTAATGACACCTTTTCTTAGGGCTGTCATGACCTCAACTGAGGGCTGGCTTGGAATCCCTGGCATATATTATATTGGGTGCTGGCTATGTGGGAGGTGGTGGCTTATTATTATTGTAGTTGGTAGCTCTTAGAGTCCCAGGGAAAGGACAATGCTAACAAACTTACTGTGTCCTCCACCCAGCTCCATTGCCTGACTTATTCTGGACTCTTCATGCACTTTTCTGTGCGTCTACACCACCCTCACTGTTGCTTGGGTGGTGTCCTCCACCTGGAGCCTCCTCCCAACTCTGCAGTCTCACAGGCTCCCACTTCATGATTCAGCTCTCCTGGGAAGCTACTCCCAGGCCTTCAGGAAGCTCCCATAACGATGTGTTCTGCTCAGTTCTTTTGTGGTGCCTACCACGATGTAGTACAGTCCATAGTATGGTTGTGTGTTCAGTGAACCAGTGAATGAAAGAAATCTTGGGCAAGGTTTTACCTTTTTGGGGCTCAGTTTCCTCACCTCTAAAATGAGATGCCCAGTCCAGGGGACTAAGCTCAGGGCCCCAGCTACAGAGAGGAATAAGAGAGCCCCTTCCCCTCGAAGTGCCGGGTGGGGGTGAGGGGAAGGGGTGCAAGTTTGCCTGCCCCTGAGTGTGCTTGTGTGATCATTTCTCCCTGCTGACCCTGGGTTTTGGAATATTATGTCTGTCATGAGCTAGCATACTGGTTCTCAATCCCAGCCCACTCTCAAAAACATTTGTGTGGCTGTAAATGGAGCCCCTCCAAGATTCTGGGGTTTGAGCTCAGGGCTTCACTCTCAAAGCAGGTGTGCTATTGCTTGAGCCACACCTGCAATCCATTTTGCTCTGGTTATTTTGGAGATGGGAGTCTCCCGAACTACTGGAATGGTGATCCTCCCAATCTCAGCCTCCCAAGTAACTAGGATTATAGGCATAAGCCACTGGTGCCAGGAGCATCTCTAATTTTTAGAAGACTCACAACTTCATATACTGGACATCTTGAGAACTGCAGTGTTAGAGCTTCATGACTTACCTGCTTTTACTGTCTTCATGACAAAGCACAGCTTGTCATGACAAAAGGGCTAAAAATGCAGTGTCGCTTGACCTTTTAGGATTCTGGCTCTGCTAGACTGTGTTTTAGGGGGCATAGTGCCTCTGGCTGAACCTTGGGGTCTGGGGGCCTTCAGGGAGGGTGCTCTGGATTGAAGGCTCCTCTTGCTTCAGGACACTGGTTCAGTCCTGGACTCTCTTACCTCCTGCCGTCTAGGAGTGGGGAGGGAGAGACCCTCTTTGAGCCACCCAGTAACACCACAGCAAGGATCTGGGAGAAGGGAATCCCCTGTGCAGTCTGTGCATGATGGAAACCCACCTCTCTGGACAGGAGCTTCATTTTTCTCAGCTGCAACTAAGATGCAGGCCCCGGGAACCACTGGGGGCCATGCAGCATGGGGAGAGGGGTTTGCATACTGTGCATGCAAATTAAATTGTCTCAGCAACTTCCCGGGTGAGCCCGGGTGTCCCCTGGTGTGTCCTGCAGTTCACTTCTCAGTCTCTGGGGAGTGACTCCCTCTACACAGGCTCTGCTCTGTGGGGAGTCTCCCAGTGCTAGTTTAATCTGACTTCCTGGGGGTAAAAACAGATTTGTGGGGCCCCTCCCCAGCCCCCACAACACATAAGTGAAGCCACTCCCTCTCTAAACCCAAACGAGGCTGGACTTGATCTGAAAGCACATGCCCCAAAAGGATGGTGTCCCCTCCACTCCGAGCTGACTCCTGTGTGCTGTGTGTGTGTGTGTGTGTGTGTAACCCTCAGCACCCCCTGGGTTTAACCCTGGAAGCTCTGCTCCTGCCTCATCTTCTCCCCACAGCCCTCTGCTGACCAACTACCTGGAGAGAGGGTTGGGTAGGTAAGGGGCGAGGCACTTGACCTGGATCTCTCTGTGCAGTTCCCATCCCTTCTCTACAAATTGGCCTCAGGTCATACTGCTTCTCTGCCACCCCCTCCCCCCTTTTCTAGTAAGTTTAGATCTCACTTGAGCCAGCCACTGACCTCATCTCTCACCCTTTCCCTGGCCCATCCCGTCCCACTGAGCTTTCTTGAACAGGCCACTAACAGGGAAACCCTAAGGCCTCTGCACTATCTGTTCCCCACACTTGAAATGTCCTTCACCCTTACCTTTGTCCTTGTCACTCAGATCTCAGTTTCTATACCCTAGTCTCTCCCTGATTACAGAGATCTAAAGGCAACTTAATTCCCTGCATAGTGCTTAGAATAATCTCATAGTTAGCTTGTTTATTATCTTCTTTCCACTCTTCCCAGAATGCCAAATACCCCCAGAGGGCAATGGTTTCTGCCGTCTTGTCCCCTGCAGAATCCCTCGGGCTGGGGAGGGGGTGGGAGCTAGAACAGATCTGGCAGAGAGGGCACACAGTTGTTCATAGAACGGTTGAGCAACTGTAAATGGGGACATCAGCTGCAGCCCCGGCGCGCGCTCCAGGCAGTGGGCTGCTCCCGGTCGCGCGCGAGATTTTTATCTTCTTGCGGGTCCCAGGAGAGAAACTCCCCTTTGGCCCGCTTGCTGCAGAAGCGTTGTAAACGCGCTTTGGGGACCAGAGGATAACGAGACTTACTGGCTGTGTGTGGAAAGACCCTTGTGGCCCGCGGGTGGGGAGAGGGTTCTGTGGCCGGCTGGGCTGGACCCTGGCATTAAGGCCCCGGTGGGAGACTTTCCCTCGTCTTTCTCAGTGGTTTCCACTTCGCAAATCGCAGATTCTCCTCCAATCCCAGGGATTTAGCGGTGGAGTGCGCGCAGCAGGAGGGCTCCGAGCGCTGCTTCACGCAAGGGGCAATTCCCTGGCGCCCTGGCCTCATCAGGATAGAGGAGAGGGTACGGATCTCGCTCCGGGACTATGCTGGAAAGGCCCTGGGTTCTTCTGGTCGCTGATGCTGGATCTACAGCCCTGGACTAGGAGTGAAAACGCCGCTGTACTGCCCACTTTGGCAGGGAACGAAGGTTGAGATGGGGCGGAGGAGCTCAGGGGCAGGGAAAGGGACAAAGAGCGGCCCTGCCCGACCCCCCACGTCAGAGTCCTATTGTTCATCTAATCTCAGACTGTAATGAACTCTGGTGCCTCCGGGAGGGAGAAAGAGAGCTGCCGCCAGGACCGTGGGCATTTGTTTATTAGGGGTGAGAAAGAGAGGGCGGGGGACGCGGGCCCGGGAGGGGGGCTAGGCTCACATTTCCGCTCGTCGCCTTTAAGGGAAGCCCTGCCCTACCTTTCCCACCGTCGTCGCCCCCCTCCTCTCCCTAGTCGTACCTGCATTTTAAAAGCGCCCTGTAGCCCTGGGATTGGCCAAGGCCGCGTGCTCTCGGAGCAGAAACTTGAACCGCCCGGAGTGTGCAGGGGGAGTTGGAAGCCCAGCAGATGGACGGTACCATCTTCGCAGCTCCCCCCGTGTGCGCCCCGCCCCTCCCACACACCCCCGGAAAGGCCCAATCGGACGGGCCGGAGGGCGGGACCGCGGCTCGAAAGCGCCTCTGGCAGAGCGCCGGGCGGGCGGGCGCACAGACCTAGGGCACCTTAGGGGCAGACCGTGCCTCTGCCAGCCCCCCGCATTTCCCTCGGAGGTGGGCCCAGGGCTCGCCGCCCCGCCTCTTCCCCGCCCGGGGTGGGCGGGGCGGTTGGGGCTCCGCGAGCTGGGCTGGGGGCGGGCCTCCTCCTGTTTCGCCCGAGCCCGGAGAGCCCGGGCACAGCAGCCGCCGACGCAGCAGCGGTCTCCGCTCCCGAGCCCGGAGACGCGCGGGCTCCCGGGCGGCCCAGGCGAGAGCTGCGTGAGGGCGTGCGAGGCGGTGCCGTGCGGGCCGCACGCGCCCCCGGCCGCCCCCCGCCCGCGCGCGGACCGGCCCAGCGAAACCCCGGCGCGGGGAGCGCCGGCACGGTGAGAGCTAGGGCGATGCTGCGGTGACGGCCTCGCCATGGCGAAGCCCCCGGCGGCGGCGGCGTCGGCGGCAGCGGCGTCGGAGGAGCTTAGCCAGGTGCCGGACGAAGAGCTGCTGCGTTGGAGTAAGGAGGAGCTGGCGCGGCGGCTGCGGCGCGCCGAGGGCGAGAAGGTGGGCCTCATGTTGGAGCACGGCGGCCTGATGCGCGACGTGAACCGGCGGCTGCAGCAGCACCTGCTGGAGATCCGCGGCCTCAAGGACGTGAACCAGCGACTGCAGGACGACAACCAGGAGCTGCGCGAGCTCTGTTGCTTCCTCGACGACGACCGGCAGAAGGGGCGCAAGCTGGCGCGCGAGTGGCAGCGCTTCGGGCGCCACGCGGCCGGCGCCGTGTGGCACGAGGTGGCCCGCTCTCAGCAGAAGCTGCGGGAGCTCGAGGCACGCCAGGAGGCCCTGCTCCGGGAGAACCTGGAGCTGAAGGAGCTGGTGCTGCTGCTGGACGAGGAGCGCGCGGCGCTGGCGGCGGCGGGGGGCGCGGGCAGCGCCGGCGGCGGAGCGGGTTCCCGCAGCTCCATCGACAGCCAGGCTAGCCTGAGCGGGCCGCTGGCTGGCGGCGCTGTGGGCTCCGGGGCCCGAGACGTGGGCGATGGCAGCAGCACGTCGAGCGCGGGTAGCGGAGGCAGCCCCGACCACCACCACCATATGCCACCCGCGCTGTTGCCCTCCGGTCCGCACAAGGCCATCGACGGCAAGGCCGGAGCCACTCGCCGGTCCCTGGACGACCTGTCTGCGCCTTCGCACCACCGCAGCATCCCCAACGGCCTGCACGGTAAGAACAACGCAGGCGGAGCGGCGCGTGTCGGTCCGACTGCAGCCCCTCCCCCAGTCTGGGGTCCTTGCGGGGGCCCAGGGGTGGTGAGAGGCGGTAATCCCCGCCTATCCCTCTTGTGCCGGGGGTGGGGGGCGGCCGCCACCCCAGACCCCTCCTCCAGCTGTTGTGGCAGCAGTGGGATCCCGCACTCACCCGTTGGCGGCTTTGGGTTGGTGGTGATCTGGTTAAGTGATGATTTGTGTCCCTGTACAGCTTAGAATCCACAGCCCAGCGCGGCCCCAGGAAAGTTTCTAGGTTGTGGAGTTGTTAGTATTAGCGTCCAGCCCTGCGGGCTTGGACTGGGACTGCAGGACTTGGGCTGGGAGTGCTTCATCCTGCCTGAAAATTCTTGCCAGGCGGCGGGAAGTTCTTCATGGAAAAAAAATGAAAGGCCCTATAAGTGCAACTGAATTTACCCCATACTTGGAGCAACAGGCGCTCCCTAAACCCAAGCAGCTTTCACGTGTGTGCTATGGCTGGAATTCCTCCTTTGCTTATAGTGGGCTGGGCAGGAGCACAGGCAGCTGTATTGAGACCCGGAGACAGCTCGGTGAGAGGTCCTTAAGCTAATATAAAAGGGTTCCTGGTTTCTTGTACGTTCTGCACTTCTCGTAGGGGGGACCTTTCTCGACCAAGTTTAAGATTTTCCCAAGGGATATGTACTTGGAATGGATTCTGACTTTTCTGAGTGCCTCAGTTTCCTTATTTGTAAATTGGCGAGGATGATCCTTGCCTCATGGGTTTGAAGTGGAGGTAACGCCCCAGAAGGGATTTGTAAACTGTTGGTCCGCCTTACAGGAAGTGCTGTGGTCTTCTGTGGCCAGGGTGTGGGTGGCAGGAGCCTTTGGTCTCTAGAAGGTCAGCATTGGTTTTCTTGCCTGTCCCTGTTACTGTTGGTACTGTACAGAGGGTGTCCCCACCTGGGGTCTGTGGGGAGCCAAGCAGTCTGTCCCTGTCCCAGCCCTCTGATCAGTGACTCTATTGCCTGTTACTTCCCTCCTCTCCTGCACCATGGGTACAGGGCCTCCCTGTTCTTCCACATTTTTGGAGGCTTGGTTCCCAGTTCTAGTGGCAATAGCCACTGCTTACAGGGTTTGCCTGACAGAGACAATGTATCTAGGGCTTTAAAGAACTGCCCTTCCCCAGAGTGACCGCTCAAGACTTGAGGGATGCTTCCTGTTTGGTTTGGTGGCCAAGTGGTCTTTGCAGGCTCAGTAAGGGAGGGGGCAGGAGGGCACTATATCCACAGAGGTGGGGCAGTGTAGCAGCTTCCTCCTTATTTACCATTCCTAGCCTGTGAGTTCAGAGCAGGACTGAGTCTGGAGGGATATTTTGTTACAGGTTAGCCATCTACCTCTGCAACTCAGGTTTCTTTTTGTAACTCTGCATCCATCCCCGGCTCCTTCAGACTAGCCCAGCAACTTTGGGTGGTTTAATTTGTTGAGGATGCACCCTGCTGCTTAGAGAACCTGGGCCTCTTTGGTCTCCCCTTTCTGGGGGCTTTGGGGATGGGTTTTCTGGGCCTCAGTTTCCCCAAGGGCAACATGAAAGAGGATTGCAGCAGTCCTGTGGCCGGGAAATGAAATGTTTCTGGTTTTCAGCTGCGTCATCAATGACACTTGGCGAGAGTGATGCTCTGCAGGACACTGGAGTGCTTGAGTGTCCTCGCCTATTTGCAGTGTTTTGTGTAAGGAGACACAGCTGGGCCTGGCCCAGAGGTCCAGTTGCAGCAGTGAATAATGCAGGAGTGGAGCACCAGGCCAGACGCCACCCATCTTGAGGTGCATAGGGGTTTACCATGTTGGGTTTCCTGCAGAATTCCCCAAATCCACTGGAACAAGACGGGTCTGCTGTAGATTTTGTCTGAGCAAAGCTTTGCTTTGGGGTGAAATGTAAGCTCAGTATTATAAATTTCAGTTACAGACAGGGTTGTTCTTATTTTGTTTTTGACTCATAAAGTCAATGGGTGGCCTTGAGATGCCCTCCTCAAATCTGTACAGAATTCCTGAAAACAAGGAAAAGGCCTTGTATAGAAGCTGAATCCCTTTGAATACTCTCCCTTATCCCTCTATCTCCTACCCTTCTTTGGGACCATAACTTTATATTGATGAGACTGCTCAGGTGGTGGCAAAAGTGGAGTCATTGTGCTTGTGCCTGGTTCATCCTCACAGGAACCCTGACCAGGTTGTGTTATTCCCATTTTACAGACTTGCAAGGGGAGGTTCGGGCCCTTGCCTGGGTGGGGTCTCCACCAGGGTCATCTGCTGCCTAGGCAAGGGGCTGGCTTACATCCCTGGCTGTTGTGTTTAATCAGGGGACCCTGGTGACTCCCTTCTCTTGATTTCTGACCTGGGTTTGCCTTCTTTTTCCCATGCTGGAAAGTGTTATTTCCTTATCAGTGACCACTGAGCAGATGGTTGATAACCCCATTACTCAGAGGGTCAGGTCATCTTGAGTTTGAATCTCAGCTCCTTCATGAATCTTGGGCAAATTAGTCAACTTTGACACCCTTCTTCTGTAAGGCAAAGCAGAAGCCTTTACCCACAAAAGATCAGAGAAGTGGGCACCTGCACACAGTGGGTCTCAGCAGTTGCTGGAGCCCTTCTGGTCTTGCTGGGCATACCTGTGCTTCTCTTTCAAGCCCTGCTTGCTGTTTAGACAGCTTGCTTGAATATTCGCATCCAAACTCCTTGCAGAGGCAGTACCTGCCTCTGAGCTGGGAACCACACAGTCCTCTCCCAGGAGCCATGCTGTGCTCACAGCGCTTCTGGGTGCCCTGAAAGGCTTCTGAGTGGCAGTGATGGAGGTGGACATCTGTATTCGAGGCAGTCCTTGGTGTAGGCTGGGCTTGGCGGGCTTGTGAATGCATATGCAAATAGCTCTCTCTTTTTCAGGAGTCTGGTTTGGGCTGACTGAAGTCGGGGCTAGAGTGCTTTTCGTTCTAATCTGGTTTTGCACATTGAGTCAGTTTAAACATCAGAAATTCAGGTTTCCCCCTGGAACCAATGTGATTTTCAAATCAAGTAATTTTCAGGACTGGGAGTGGAGCTCAGTGGTAGAGCAATTGCTTAGCATGGGTTCCATTCCCATTACCACACATGCAGAATTTTCTTACAGCTCTTTCTCCTTTGCACCCCCCCCCCCACGATCCTGCCAGCCCCACAGCACACCCTTGCCCTTGGGTGTGTCCTCCCCTCCTCCACCTTCTTGCCCCTCTCCCCTCTGTGGCTAACCCAGAGAAACCAGAACCACCAGGGAGACCAGGAATGGGTGCCATTTACTTTTTAAAGTTTGAATTAAATTTTTGAGCATCTCAAAATTAGTTGGGCTTCTTCTCCCACTTGTATTTTTTGTTAGTTTAAAAGGGAGGGTGGAGTGGGGGTGGTCTGAACTTTTTAAAAAAAGACAGAGCACGCTGGTCCTGAATAGGTCTTTTTCTCTGTAGCCTCCCAGCTCAGCTAATAAGGCTGCCTTTCCTGAGCTGGTGCTCTGAGAGCAAAGGTCACTGGAGATAAAGGGCGGGTTACATAAGCTTTTCCTTTCCTCCCAGCCTGACTCTGAGGGATATCTATGGCTTTGGGGTGCTAGGTCCCCATCACCATGCACAGAAGAGGGTGGCTCTGAGGAGCTCACAGGCACAACACTTCATCATGAAGTGCTGCCCAGTTGTGCACAGATTCCAGATGGTCCCAAAAGGGAGGCCTTAGTATTGGGAGAATGTCTTGTTTAGGTCCCCAGGGGCTGGCTGGGGGCCTGCGGTCAGCCCCAGCCCATCATCTGTGCCTGCCGTCCAGCTGGCTCAGTAGGCTTTGTGTAGCAAAGGTGTCACTCCTCTTTCCAGGAAGCTGGACCCTGAGCCTGATGCCTGCTTTCCTGCTCCCTTGTGTGAAGCCCCCTTCCACGTAGGGCTGGTCCTCCTCTCTTCTTGTTCTTTCATTCTCTCACTGGAACAGTTACCCACCAACACCCACATCCATGCTGGGCCTCTGAGTTCCTGAAACACAAAGTTGGTTGAATATTGCCCCAGGGCCAACAAGGAAACTAGCTACTGCTCATGATCTGCTTTCCACCCATGGGGATTTTCTGTACCGTGCCTGTCATGCTCGTTTGCACAGTGAATTGAAAGCTTTAGGCAAAGTCCTGAACCTCTGAGGAGGAGGTGAGGAGTCTTTACTCTCATCTGAAAGGTGTATGCACTGGGCCTGCACAGGGCAGTGCAGCCTGCTGGCCAGGGCTGTGTTCTATGGTCAGAATGCCCAGGGTGACTCTTGGCCTTGTTACCTGCTTTGTGACCTTGGCACTGAGCCTGTACTCCTCAGTTGCCAATTCTGTACCCTTGGTCCTAGAACTGGGTCTTTTTTTTTTTTTTTTCCTGTGGAACTGGGGTTTGAACTCAGGGCCTACACCTTGAGCCACTCCACCAGCCTTTTATTTTGATGGGCTTTTTCAAAACAGGGACTTGGAACTATTTGCCTGGGCTGGCCTTGAACCGAGATCCTCCTGATCTCTTCCTTGTGAGTAGCTAGGATTACAGGCATGAGCCACCAGTGCCTGGTTAGAACTGGGTCTTCAAGGAAGAGATCTGTGACCTTCCATTTTCACCTGGACCCCTATGAATATGTCGCTTGGAGTGTGGGTGAGGAACGCCTGACACACACTTGTGAGTGGAGCCTTGTGTTCAGCCTTGTCTCAGAGCCAGAGAGACAAGAGGTTGAATAGAAGGAAGACAACATTCCAGGCAGGAATGAGCTGAACGGCTAAGTTCTGGAGTTGGGGTCTAGACCATGGTGTTGAGAGCCTGAGGCCTGCAAGTTACACTGAGGGTGAGCATGGGGAAATCACCTTGCAGCGGGGGATGGGTGGGGTGGGTGAGGTGGATGGGTAACTACTGTGGGCATCCCTTCAGGTGCAGCGCCAACGTGCCACCAGTTTAGACTCCAGTGCCTACCGATGATTAG